ATAGTAATTCCATCGCACCTAATCCTACTGACACTGCATCGCATATCTTGGGGTGATAGAACATCGGATAGGCCCATCCGATACAAATATCTTGGCAGTGAAGGTGAGTAGAAATTTGCCTTCATGAAATGAAGCTCTTTTCAAAGAATCTGTAAATAGAAAAGGATGTTTCTGTTCAATCCGTGATAATATATTATATCAAAAGAAGCCTTATCGAATTGAGTCAAAACATCTAGTCAATGCCAATATTCCCAAGTGCATATATACAACTCAATCTTGGGTATTCAGAAGTGAAGACTTGATGAGGCTGTCTTCTGGGAGGAGTAGCAGATGAGGGTTGAACAGGAGCTGGCTTGACACTGGCTTTTGACTTTGACAAACTCACTAGAGGCTCTGATGCAGCCCTGGTGGGGGCTTTGACAGGTGTTCTGGTACCAATATTGATGGAAATTCAGGGAGCTAGTTTCTTCTGTGAGCTGGTTTTGGATTGAGCAGAGGTGCTGGCAGATGGGTTGGCAGAATTAGTGATGTTAAAATCTTCCAACTTAGACAATAGCTTATCAATCATTAAGTCTTGAGACTGGAGTTTTGCCTCAAACACTTGGCTTTGAGCTGCAAGGGCCTGAGATATGGCAGCCTGGATTTCGGATTGGGGAGTCCCAGTGATAGCAGGCTGCTGAGGAGCATCACTGCCAAGATATTTGTATCGGATGGGCCTATCCGATGTTCTATCACCCCGAGATATGCGATGCAGTGTCAGTAGGATTAGGTGCGATGGAATTACACTGCAATATGGTGTCGGAGCATGAGATACCAATAGTAATTCCATCGCACCTAATCCTACTGACACTTCATCGCATATCTTGGGGTGATAGAACATCAGATAGGCCCATCCGATACAAATATCTTGGCAGTGCATGAGGGTTGGTGTGAGGAACTAGAGACATGATGGAGTGATATGAAGCAATGTAAAAAAGTGGTCACAGCAATAATGTTAGAGACTGATTGTATGATGTGGGGATGATGAAAAGCTTGAATCTCACCAGGAATTAGGCCATTTTATACCCTGATCATCCAGTGAAACACGTTCTTGAGGCTGGATGTTTGTAGAATTTTAAATCATTGGTTGTCAGTCCCAAACTTCCAGCCTTCTACAGAAGTAGGCTGGATTGGACATTCTTGGCAAGATGACAGTGGTGGATTGGATGTTCTGGGTTAGATGATGGTGTTGGAATTTTGAAGTTGGCTGGATTGGATGGATGAAGGTATGGCAGACATCAACCAGCTGGCTGACTTCAAAGGACCAATGGTGTATGTCACTCCTGGGTTTGAAATCTGGTTGGTGTCAGATCAGGGCCAACCTGCAGGGCATGTCACATTTGTGCAAGCCTGGCACACATCAGTGTTCTTCCTGTAGTGTCACTACAGGCAGGACATTGAAATCTACAGTGTAAGCATCATTGTGATGTTTACATGTTTGGTGACTGTACATGTGTGTACGTTGTTGTGAGCAGAATGTGAAAGAGATGTGTACATTATTAATATTAACAATTATTGAGGTCATTAATGGAGGATATGCGTGTTAGAGGGGTTACAAAGGTGGGAAAAGGCAATAATCATTAGTACAAAGGTGGAACCAGGGAGTATTAAGGTAAAAGGGACTTCTATGGAGGCATTATTCTTTTCCCAAAACATTTATTAAAATGTTTTTGGTGGTCATAAACATATAAATTCCTTATTACAGGTGTTATATTACCACTTATTAGACTCTAATACAAAAATATTGAGTTACAGGTTTTTCTATCTCAGTCAATTTTGAAGATAACCTAATAGTACAAAAATGAAAAGTGTACGAAATTACA